AACCTCCCCCCCCCCCATCAAACCAAATCTGTTAGTATTTTATTGCAGCTGTTAAATTAACCACGCTTTTTTCCAGTGCTTGTCAATGCAACTCAAGTCTTAACTGTGTTTGTCATGGGAAAGTGTAGCAACAATTCAGACTATAACTGTATAGGCAAATGGTGTAAATACAGGCTTGCTACATAAGAAGAACTGCACCTGAGACTCTGTACATGAGAGCATTTTTTATCCTCTTCTCTGTGATTTTTTTTCCTTATTACTGTGCTTTTCACACAGCAATTGAAGTGAAGCAAGACAGTATGTTAAAAACTGGCTAGCAACTTGGACAGCGTAATACCCTAGAAGTGTAGCTTAAATGTTAAAAAAAAGACTTTAAATATCCATCCAATTGTCTCTCCTACCACTTAGAATTCATTTTCTCAGGTGGAGGTGGTCACATTAACTTAACTGAATTGTGTGTGCAAAGGGAACACACAATTATGCTAAAATGTAGGACCAACTCATAGTCAGCTGAACTTGAACAGAAGGTATTGGTTTTTTTAAAACCAAGCAAACACTTTTTTTTTTCTTTATGTCCCAGGACAACTTTATTTGCAGTTAAGTGTGAAGTAATGTAGGTCACAATATGGACACAACCACCAACACAAAACGCACAAACTAATCAAACAACACCCCAGGAAAAACCTTGGCTCCTATGATCTCTTTTTCTGCTTCAAGTCATAGAATCATAGAATGGTTCAGGTTGGAAGGGACCTTAAAGATTGTCTAGTTCCAAACCCCCTGCGTGGGCAGGGAAACCTCCCACTAGACCAGGTTACTTAAAGCCCCATCCAACATGGCCTTAAACACTTAAGGGTAGGGGACATCCACAACTTCCCTGGATAACTTGTGCCAGTGTCGTGCCAACCTCACACTAAATCATTTCTTCCCAATGTCTAATCTGTATCTACCCTCTTCCAGTTTAAAACCATTACCCCTTGTTCTATGCCTACATGCCCTTGTAAAAAGTCCTTCCCCGGCTTTTCTTTAGGCCTTTTCAAGATAGTGGAAGACTGCTAGAAGGTCTCCCTGGAGCCTTCTCTTCTCCAGGCTGAGCAACCCCAAATCTCAGCCTGACTTCAATAAGCTCCATGTCTTTCTTCTGTTGGGGGCTCCAGAACTGGACACAATACTCCAGGTGGGGTCTCACAAGAGCAGTGTAGAGGGACAGAATCACCTCCCTTGACGTGCTGGCCATGCTTGCTTTGAAGCAGCCCAAGACACTGTTGGCTTTGTGGGCAAATTGCTAGCTCATGTTGATCTTCCTCATCAAGCACCACTCCCAAGTCTTTCTCATGAGGGCTGTTCTCAATCCATTTTTTTCCCAGCCTGTATTTGTGCTTGGGTTTGCCCTGACTTGTACAGGACCGTAAACTTGGCCTAGATACTAAATAGATTCTAAATGCAGTTTCCTCATGCTCTTTGTTCAAGAGAGGCTTTTATTGTACTTGATTGTGTGAGGTGTTGAACTTGGATAAACAACAACTGAGCAGAGCTTACCCTGGGTCAACATCACCTCTGACTTCCCTGAGGAGTGGTGACATGGTGGCCTTTGCATAGTTGTGTGCAGCCAGATCCTCAGGGGGAAGAGGCACCTGCCATCTCTGTTCTCATTGTTTGCATGGGTAAGTCTTCCTTGACAACTGGCCTAAGAATTTCTTGGCTTATGTCTGGAAAAAGTTTTTCTTGCAGGCTTCAGTTATCCATTACAACTTTGTTCAAATAGTCTTCCCTAATGAGAGATTTCTACATCTTCATATGTTGCTATACTGTTGACCTCAGTTATTTTATCCTAATTCAAGCTATGTTAAGGATAAAATTTATCTATTTACAATTTGAATGACATTACTTGTCCATTTACTCATTTCACTTCCTAAGTTTCTTGCTCTGCAGGTGCATAGTTTCATGGGACAAAGCTTTTGTAGAGCTCTGCAAGAGGGCTTAAATCAAAAAATATGACAAGGAAAAATATGATTGTGGGTTTGTTGGTTTTTTTCCCCTCTGCAAGTAATTGTATTATCTAATAGCACTGAGCATGTAATTCAAAGGAAAGATCTGTTTAGGGTATAAGTGGATCTCTGCGATTTGGTACCCCAGAGCTTTTTAAGTAGGTACAAGTGTCTGGATGAAAGGAGAGCGTGCTTGTGTAAATCTGAAGCTGGGGACCACTACTGGATACAGTGATTCGTTTATATTCAGCTTTCATAAATATGTTCTGTTATTTTTAAGGTGAAAGGCCTTATATGTGTGACTACCCAGATTGCGGGAAAGCCTTTGTTCAGAGTGGGCAGCTCAAAACTCACCAGCGTCTCCACACAGGGGAGAAACCTTTCGTCTGCTCAGAGAACGGTGAGCAATCACAATTGGCAGCTTTCAGAACTAGGGTCAGTGCCACGTGGCAAAGATCCATACAAACGTGGTTATGAATTCTGGAGGAGCTTCTAGGGAAGGCAGGAGCCAAGCATGCAAGTATGTATCAAAGGATTGCATCATTATTAAGTAAGTAGGTTATCAGTAATTCTGTCAGTTGGTAGTAATGTGTAAAATGATGGGACATATTATGAACCTTGGAACTGTAGCTTGCTGTTTTCAACCAAAACTAGGGGTTTGTGGGTGAGGAAGGTTGGATCCTTCATCCCACAGATGTTATCCTTACTTGTTGATTGGCTGCTTTCCATAATGTGTTCTTCATTGCCACTGTGTTTTTTAAGGCTGTTTAAGCAGATTCACCCATGCAAACCGTCATTGCCCCAAACATCCATATGCTCGACTGAAGAGGGAAGAGCTCACAGACAGGTTGAGTAAGAACCAGACGGCTGACAATAAAGCTGTGGCTGAATGGCTAGCAAAGTAAGTTTCCTCATGGTGCCATCTTTCTCTTAAGTACTTCTAAGGGTGGTCTGAGAAAGCATTTATTATTGAAGGCAAAAAAACCCCCAACAAGCCAAACCCAGATGTTCATGCAGTACAAATCAGCCTTTCCTTAAAGAATTGTCTAGATAAAGTTCCTTAGAAGACTTTTTCTTGTTCTCTGCTTCAATGCTTGTCTTTGCCTGATCAAGACCTGCTCATACCTTGCTAGTGCTAGTCTTGCTAAATTTGCATCTGTAGGAGGGACAACAGTTGTTTATGGCCCTGCTAGGAACACTACCTAAAGGAGAAATGTCACAGGTTTCATGTGGGTGCTTTACACTTAAAATACTGAATAAAGGAGGTTTCTGACATCTTAAATACTACTGAATAAGGGCTGAAAGCTAAAGCCAAATGCAGTGCTTGGTGGGATGCAAGCTAGTACTTGGGAGACTTTTGCCACCTTCGAAATGCTGGTGCACGAGTCAGTTTTGTGTATTTTATAAGCATTCCCCACTTTTGCTTTTGTAGATACTGGGAGACTAGAGAGCAGCGTGCTCCTGCTTTGAAAACTAAAGCAATCCAGAAAACTGATCAGGAACAGCAGGACCCCATGGAATATCTGCAGTCTGATGAAGAAGATGATGAAGAGAAGAACGGAGCTCACTCAGCTGCAGGCCGCCGCCGTCTCCAGGAACAGCGTGAACGCATGCATGGTGCACTGGCTCTCATCGAGCTTGCAAACCTCGCTGTGGCACCGCTGCGGCAGTAGAGAGCAACAGAGTCTGCCTATACACACTTCCTGGTGGTACTTAACCAGATAGATTCCAGTAATAAGCTAAGCACCTTATTTGCTTATCATAGGCTGCTATTCTGTAGAATTAATGAAGAATGTTGTTGCCCCATAACATGGGGTGAGAGAATTGCACTTTTTGTAAGGTAAAAGACAGATGTAAAGTTTAAAAGTATTTTGTAAATATAGCACTGCATAATGCAGGGTTGACAAATTTACATGTTGTGGGAAGCTAGATTTTGCAAGGTTAACTCATTTATTTGAAGCAGATTTCACAGGAAGCACTTTCTGAACAAAGTGTTTGTGATTAGCAGAATGGTACATGTTGCCAAAGAAGTCTGACGAAAAGTATTTATCTGACTATTTAACTAAATTTATATGAAGTGGTAGGTCTGAAGATATTAAGTATCAATGCCACCATGGTTTTCTAATGTCAGGATATCTTTACCTAGTATCACTGAGGCAGAAGGCAGAGCTTAGTTATCGCAGCTTGTAGAGGGGATATGCTTCATGCAGGAAAGTTAAGATTGTTCAGCATCCTCACTGACTGCTCAAGGTATGAGGCTTGACTTTGCTGTTTTGTGCTTTCTGTTTCAATTTCAGCAGAATCTATTGGTAGCACTTGTTATTCCTAACATATGATGTTAGGAACTTTTGCACATTGTTTGGTTTATCTGAAAATGATTAGTCTTGCAAAGTCTAGGCAAAGGTAAAAAAATGGTAGTATTTTTTCAGATATTTTTGGACCCTGTAGTGATTTGGCACTTGATTTTGTTAATAGAAGGGGGTATTTACAGGGTGGTATGGATTTGTAGTAAACTATTCTAGATGTCCTACTAGCGAACACTAAGTTTTAAAGCATTGCTTTTATATGATTATTAGCAAATAGAAGCCTCTGTACTTTCTGTGCATAAAGCCACCTTATTGCTTTACTTCAGGTAACATGCCTATTTTGTTTTTGCTAACTGTACCACAGCTGTTACTTAAACACTGCAGAAAAGTATTCACAACTAGAAAATAGGCTTCCAAAGATAGTTATGAGTGTTAACAGTGTGATTTCATGTATTTCCCAAATAAGTGAAGTTACAGAATGCTGTCTAGTACTCAGATGCTGATATAAAATATTAAGCAGGATATCTTGCCACTTCATTAATGTTGTATAGTTTAAAATAGCATTGCCTCATCGTGATCTTTTTCTGTATTTTGCTTTGAAGGCAACCAGAGATTCCTAATATGCTAACAGAACTTTGTTTTCAGATAACACTTTTTGTTGTGTGGTTTATTGGTGTTTTGTTTTATGTTGGATTTTTTTGTTTGTTTGTTTTGTTTTGTTAAGCTACTGCTTTAGGGGATATCAATAATTTGTAATTGCTGACCTGCTTGCTTTAACTCCTTCCTCTCGTTGAAGGTCAGGAAATTCAGATAAGAAGGGAAACCACTTCCCCTCTCGCTTAAACAAGAGGACGAAATCAATTTTATCAGTCACTTGATACAGACTGAGCAGATGTGTACAGCAGTTCCAGGAAAGTAGAGTGATTTTACACCAGAAAGTGATGGATTGTGTTATCTGATAATTTATAACCTGTTGTGGTTGAAAATCTCATTAACCCAGTTTGTTTAATTCATATATTGATGCACTTAACTAAAGAGCAATTGAGTAATTTAAATAAAACAACCTCTTTCATTGAATATAAATAGTATAAATATTGTTGCACCAGTGATACGGTTAACTTTTGCTTTCAGCTCCTAAGCTTAGCTGACATCAGGCTTATTTGTTTCTGTTTTAAGTTGTTTGGACTTAAAAATACGAAACGCTCCCTAGAATGACTGCATTCTAGTCTTCTCAGCCCAGGTAAAACTGGTAGTTCCCGTGTAGGATTGGAGTTTCTTAAAGAAATTGCTTGCTCTTGGCTGTTCAGTTGGCTGCATGGAAATAGTCTGATCCTAAAATGAACCGTGAGCATATATCTGTTGCACTTCTGAATCATAACTGAGAATTGCTCCTGGGTAGTATTTCACAGGGCACAGGACTGTGTAATTACCAAAAAGTTGCAGACTGGAGTAATGATGTTCTTCATTAGGCTTTCCTTTTAATATATTCTTTTTTCCCAGTCAGCTGTAAAGCTTCAACCAAGTCAAGAATATTTCTACAAGTATGACAAGTACACTGAATTGTACTTGGCTGTAGATTAAATTCAGACAGCCCAAGGAGTTTTGTGTCATGACAAATACCGAGTTAAAAAAAAATAAAAATTGAGATGCTTTTGGTTTTGTTAAGAAGTGATTACATATAAGAAATCTTCAAGTGTTCAATACTTCATAAGATTAAGTTGTAGTTTGGTGTGACTTAATAGCAGAAGGGTGGATGTGCTGTCATTTTAATAAAATGCTTTGAGTAAAAACTGGGTTTAATTCTCAAGTTTGGTGTGTTTGCTGTTAAACACTTGGGTTTCTTCCTCATTCCTGCAGTCTTGTCAGCATGATAGAGCAGAGCACGAAGGTGTTTATTTTCCATGCTTGTTGAAATTTGATATGTTAACCATGCAAACCCAACTAAGGTTTTTTATGGCCTGACAAACCCCTGGGAGTTCCTTCAAAGCCAGGGCCTGGAGTGGTGGGGTGGCCCTTGCTCTGCACAGAGGGGCCTAGGACTGTGGAAGAAAGAGGGGCAAACTTCTTAGTAGGTCCTGTAGTGATAGAAGGGTCGATATAGGGTCGATTAGGAAGAAATATTTTACAGTGAGGGTTGTGAAACACTGGAACAGGTTGCCCAGAAGGGTAGTAGATGCCCCCTCCCCGGAAACATTTCAGGGTCAGTTTGGACAAGGGCTCTGAGCAACCTGATCTAGTTGAAGATGTTCCTGCTCATGGCAGGGGGCTGAACTAGATGATCTCTAAACGACCCTTGCAACCCTGGCC